AACATAATGTATTTCTAGCGGGTTTTCAAGCACTGTTTTCAGATTAATCACACATGCATTGTTATCCTTACATACTTCCTCTCGGTCTATTTGCTGGTTAGAATACAGAGCCCCGTCGTTTTCATTCAGCTTAAAAACAGGATCGCTCGAGCCTGCCATGATACGAAATCCCCTCCGTTTCATCACATTCGCATCTATTCCCAAATCCTTGGCTAAATTCCCAACAAAAGTCCCCTCTTTCAGCTCTTCAGGTATGGAGTATTTCAGCTGGGAAGAGGCTGCGCTGACAAAAGAAAACCAAACCAACACGGAGAGCATCAGAGATGGCTGTCGCCATGAATCCCGACGTCTTTGTTTCATTCTGTGAGGCATGAAGAAGAATCCCAGCACGGACATTGATCCACGATTTTCTAGAGCTATAGTTCCTTCAAAAAATACAAAACGATTATATCCTATTCCATGAAGGTAGTCCAAACAACACCAAAATGCAAATCCGTTTAATTATTCCAAGCAGTCCTCTAAATGCTGTCCAACCAGACTGAAGAGAAAGACCTGCGCAATCCGCAGATCAACCCGCAGCAGGTTTTATACTGATAGGATACTGCCACCTTGTGAGAAATCTTCGTCTGCATTAAATACGGAGTTCACCAAAAGTTAAGTTCACAGCTGACTTTACGTTTCACTGTACAGAAGAATAAATAAATAAATAAAGTGAGCGGTAAAAACGCATGTGACCTTGGAGCCAGCATTAACCCTTCATATCGATGTTGTGAAGTTATTAATTATGTAGAAATGGGACATGACCATCCATCCAACCATCCCCCCCCCCCCCCCCCCATCTCACCCGATTCGGATGTTATCAGCCATTAAATGGCCGTTATTAGTTATTATCATCTCCATATGTCGTTCCCCATCCATCCATCCATCCATCCATCCATCCATCCATCCATCTTTACTCGCTTCTTCCTTTTCATGGAGGTCACTGGTGACCATATCCAGCAGTCACTGTGCGCCAGGAAGAGGACACCCTGGACATGTCTCCAGTCCATGACAGTTTTGACATGTGCTATGTCATTAAAATTAATAAGAATGTGAAAATCAATGCAGGCTGCTACTAGATATTGAGATAAGATTTGTGTGATTGTTGACACTTACAAGAAGAAAGAGCTCTAAGTGTATAATGATATTGCAGGTTTCTAAAAACAACTAACTTTATTATGCTATTATGGAATATGAATATTACTAGAAATATATCAACATGTCATCATGAATAGCACATTAGGTTATCTTAAAAAAAACGACTTTCTAAAGCTCATAATAAAACAGGTGTAATATTTTTAATGACGACATGAAAATAAATGGGGGGTGGGTGGGGTGGGGGGGGGTGAAGGATAATAGTTTAGTTTGAAACAGAGACCACATATTGCACTTAATGTATAAGGAAAACAAAAAGTATATTTCTACTTCGACACTTTGATCCCTTAAAGCGTAAATTAACATTTTTAACTATAGACACATCGTGTCTGTGTATATGTGTATGTGTCAAGGGAGGGGTGTATGTGCATATTTTGTGTCCATATATTCAAATACAATAGAATGACAAAATAAAAGATGCAAATAAAGTGCAGTCAATATTAAAATATTATTTTGAGTAAAATAAAACAGTTCATTCAAAATTTAAAAAGGGATACGATGATCTCTACAAAAACTTAAAAACATTTGAAAAACAATAAGAATAATACAATTCCAACTCCTCAAACAGCATAGGAATTTTAAGATGCAATTTGAAAACGTAGAATTTGATCTGAGTAAAGTTACAACATCAAAAATAGATGTGATGACGTTGCATTAAAAAAAAAAAAATCTGTCTTGTCACAACCAAAAATGTATTCGACTTTTGAACTGTGCATAAACTTAATTCAATCAAAGTCCAATGAGCAAAAACTAACGGTCTAAATTTTTTGGAGTCCGGTGGGAAATAGGTTGAACATGAGAAAGGGAAAAAAGTAAATACCCCAGTAAAAATAAAAAATAAAAGGTTATTAATGTTTTCAATGAAATTTGTCTTACCTCCTCAGATGTTTTCCTCCTGTCAGGTAAGACCAGAGTG